GGGTCAGTAATTGGTTGGGTTTTGTTTAGATTGTGAAGTGTGTAAAAGGCATCTATTGTGCATTGTTCCTTGGAATGTTTAATTTATAGTACTTTATGAAGTTGATATATTTGTATGAATTTTCAGTAGCAGTATAGGTTAAATACAATTACTGACCACATAGATGTTTTTGTATTTTGTAATGTGTGTCGTCTGCATGAATATGTTTCGATGGTGTTTGTCTTATGCAGGGTTTGAGAAACAAACCAAAGAAAACAGGACACGTGAAACCAGACCTCATAGATGTTGATCTTGTAAGAGGTAGGTCTGAGCTAGAAAAAGCTGAATTTCTCAGTATAAAAATAACAACCATCCTGTGTTTTTATAACAAGAGTATATTAGTAGGTTTAAAATAACCCCAAGCAAACCCCTTTTTATCCCCTTACCCCTCAACTTCCCCACACTTGTTCCTCTCCAAATCACCTAAACCCCTCCTTTCTCCCACCCCTGGTTTCTTTCTGTAACTTCCTATAGTAAGTCTGTGCAATCTGAGCTGCTCTTCCCCTGCATCCCTCAGTGAGTCCCTCAGTGAGTCCCACCTGCCCTGGCAGCATCTCCTTCTCCTCTGAAAGGTGACTTGGAGAGCTGTTCCCAAAGACTCATTGCGAGTGTTTCACACCTGGACGGTGAGGTCAACGGCTCTTCTTGGACAGCCTTGGGAGGGGCCTGGTCATGGTGTTCATTCCATGGTTTGGATTCCCACCTGCTTTTTCTGCCTCTGTCCTAGTTTGGGCTTGGGGGGATGGGCCTGAGATGAGCTGATGGTTCCAATGATGAGTCCAGAAAACCCCCAAAAGGGTATTATTTGGGCTCTCCCTCCTGCCATTATCTCTTTTAAGATCTGTGGGTGTGCAATATAACAATATAACCTTTTAAAAATGGGAATGTGAGAGAAAGAAACAAAATCAAATGACATTTGAACTTAAAAGAAACTAAGAAACAGAGGTAGACCACTTCAGTATGTCGATATATGTGAATAGCATTTAAATGACTGCCCTTCATGGCTGTCTAACTTGGCATTATAGTAATTTCAGTGCTGGCAGTGTTTTACCTGTGGCAGCACAGAGCTCACTAATGCCTGTTCTGCTGGTAAATGAGGTGGAGATGGCATAGCAGCATGCAGTAGTTGCCATTTCCAGTCAATAACTTGGCATAATTTAAGTCACATCCCCATGAAGTAAATGTTACACACTTTTCTAGCTGAGAATTTGCAGGAAATAAAAAAAAAAGGAGAAAAAGGACATTTGAATGAGAGAGATTAAAAATAGTATAGAAGGAGAGACAAAAATATTCTTTGGGTGGCTTCTCAGCTCCTGAGGCTAGTCCTCAGTTGGACAAATCCACCTCAATGCTTCTCAACCTTGTTCCATTTTCCCAAATGAGGTGGCTGGAGCAATTTACAGATAATTTACAGAGCAATTTACAGTTGGTATTTTAGATCCCTTTGCTGTGTTGGAAAGGGCTCTGCTGTGTGTGCAAGGGCATGCAGTTTTCATATGACTTCTTGTTGTTTTATATCAAGTTTCTGATACCTCTATGAAACAACAGTTTTTAATAATTCATTTTAAAATAATTTTAACATAGTAAGAAATGCCAATGTTTTTTCTTTTTCAAACATTCCAAAGTACAGGTATTTGTAGAAATTCCTGATAATGGCAGCCAAGAGGGCACCAACAATTTATGCTAATTGTGAAATGGTGGAAATACAATATTTATTCAAATAATTGTGGTTAATAAATGCTCCTTTAAATAACTGTCTTAACTACTCTACTATTGAACAACTAGAGTTTTTTATTAGCCATAAGAATGAAATAAATCTAAATTTTTTTTTTTTTAAGGATCTGCTTTTGCTAAAGCAAAACCTGAAAGTCCTTGGACATCTTTGACCCGCAAAGGAATCGTGAGAGTTGTTTTCTTTCCGTTCTTCTACAAGTGGTGGCTACAAGTGACATCACGGGTCATTTTTTTCTGGCTGCTTGTTCTTTACCTTCTCCAAGGTAGAGTTGGATTACAGCATTGGCTTCAACTGAATGCCTTGTTTTAACTGTATGGAAGCTGCTGCTTGGTTCACGTTATGCTGTTAAGGTTCATTCTAATGTTTTCTGTCCCTTTGTTAACATTTCTTTTACGTATATAATAGGGACAAAATGAAAAATTTAAGGATCTCCTCACAGGCTGTCTTCAGCATTTAGCACACAATAGTTTGTCACCTTTGTGTATAATTTAGGTTTTCAGAACTATCTAACTTAGTTCAGGACTGAGCAATATTGAAGAAACCGTTGGCTTAGGGACTGTATCTTGCCTTGGGTTTTTGGTCCGTCTGGTACCTGTGCAGAGGGAGCCCCCGGTGGTCTAGGGGAAATGACACTGCACTGTCACTGCAGAGACCCGAGTTCGAATCCCGGTCGGGGCCCCTCCCCGGGCAGATGGAGCTCGTTAGCCCATAAGGCAATCCATCTACGTCCTGAGGACCTCGCTGCCACCGTCCAAGCTCGCTTGGCCCCGGCAGATGAACCTCAGGATTAAAGGGTGGGCTCAGTTCCGCGCACACTGTGTCTCACCTAAAAAAATCCAATGCGCAGGCTGGA